TTGTAAAGCTGCCGATTAAAATTGTAGTAAAAAGTAAAAAGCCGCTATGGTTATTCAATATATTATTATTATTATTATTCTTAATGTAAATGAAATTACAATTATATAACCTTTATACTTAGTTTGGAGGACTGGTTCCACTGAAACCGTATTCCATTCCCGTCATATAAGCGTCATGTCATTTTTTACCACACCAAAGGGTGGTGCCACACTTTTATTTATTTATTTTTTATTAACTATTTTAATTTAATAAAATTTATTTTTTTAATAAAAAAAACATAATTTTAAAAAGAAAATATTTCATTAATTAAAAATACAAATACCATACATTACTTAACTTAAAAAAAAACTTAAAAATTTAGAAAAACAAATTAGAAACATAAAACCTACAACTTAAAAAAAAACACACCAAACGATTAAAAACTTGAAAAAAAGAGCTAGAAATTAGTCACGATTGATGTAACGTTTTTTCATTTCCTCTTTCATCGCCAAAACCACTTCAATGTCGGCCCCGATCATATTCGATGTGTCCGTCGCTAATATTCGCATGTCGCTCTCTCTTTGTTTCCGAAGCTCTCTTTCAGAAGCAATTTGCAAAATCTTGTCAATTCTGTCTTTTATACCCTTCATGTGGGCTTCCATGTCTTTCAAATCATCTGAATCCGATGCTTTGCCTTTGCCTTTGCTTTTTGAGTTTATATCTTTATTTAATAATATATCTAGGAAAAATATGTGGCCGCCAAAAGATTCATTTGGACTTGGTTTTGAACTTATGACATTGGAGCTGAATTTAATTACTTTAACTGGTGTAAGTGGTCTGAGATTTGTAACCAATCAGGGTAAATACTAGGGAATTTTTAGAAAAAAGATTTTTGAGAAAAAGATTGTTGTTGACCAACAAACAGCTGGAGTAGGGCATTGATATATTTTTGTGAATCAGAGATGATTGAGCATGTTTTGTCACATACAATTAGGCATGAGCAAAAGAACCGAACCGGTCGGAACCGGACCGGAACCGGGAACCGGCTTCGGCCAAAATTAAGAACCGAACCGGCCCGGCGGTTCTACCGGTTCCGGTTCCACCGGTTCCCGGTTCCTACCGGTTCTTGTCGTGTCTTCAAATATTGGAACCGGTCCTTGAAAAATAGCATCATACGGTTCCGGTTTTTGCCGGTTCTACCGGTTTTTGCCGGTTCCGGTTATATTGGTTCCGGTTCCTACCGGTTCCCGGTTCCAAAAATCCACAAAAATAATGTCCCGGTCCCGGCCCGACCGGTTCTATCGGGTTCCGGTTCCGGTGCCGGTGCCGGTTCCGGTACCGGTTTCGGTCGGTTCTCCGGTCCATATGCTCATCCCTACATACAATTTTACGAGAGTAAGACCATAATTTGTTCCATGAATTGGCTTATTGATATTAAAAGAGAATAAGTGTTGTGATCTTTGATTCTGTTGAGTTGTATTAGGGAGTGGCTAAGTCTTGTTTCTATTATTATATGATATTTTGCGACTAAAGCTAAGTTGACTCAGGGTAAGACAGGTACATTCTCAACTATGGTACAAAAACAGGGTTAAATGGGTTGGATCTTTATCATGTTTGTTTTTGTTTCATGCATAAAATTTCAAAAAGATTTGATTTTGATTTTCTTTTCTTCTTTCATTTTATTTTCTCTAGTTTAAATTTTTCTTGTTCTTTCTTGAGGACAAGAAAGCTTCAAGCTTGGGGAGATTTGTTAGATGCATTTCATGCATTCATTTTGTAGTTTTAATCCATAAAAGTGTATTGCATTTAGGTTTAAAATCATGCATTTTGCATATATTTCGGGATTTTTCATGATGCAATTTCATTCACACACTTTTATGATATTTCAGGGACTTTTGGAGGTTGGATCTTGTTTTAGGAGGTTAAAAAGAGTTGGGGGCAAAATTTCGAGACTTGCGAATCATTAAGGAGAGAGATAAGAGAAAAATGAAGATTTTAGCTTTTCAGAGATTTACACAGCCGTGTAAATGTAAGCCTATAGTTTACACGGGCCGTATAAACGCATACTCGTTAGAAATGTACTTCAAAGGCCTGGCAAATTTGAGCAATTTACTTTTTGCATTTACACGGCCGTGTAAATGATCAGTTATAGTTTACACGGGTCGTGTAAACGTGTCGCCAGCTTTTAAAACAGTTTCATTCTAGTTTAAAGAAGGTAACCGGTTCAAAAGGAAAAGAGGTCGTATTTTGGAGTTCTAGGAGGCGATTTTAGGAGCTTTAAGAAGACGATTGTTGCTTGAAAACACTTGTATTTCATTTTGATTTCAATTTGTAAGATTTAACTCTTAATTTCTAGGTTTGTGTTTATTCTAGTCATGAGTGGCTAGAAACTTAATTCTCCAACTTTATGTCTTGACATTTGGATGTGATTTCAATCATATGACTTGATGTTTGCTTTCAATTTTCTATCTAGTGAATTTGATTTTGTCTCAATCGAATGTTTGTGTCACAACTAGAAATTTTGTGCCTTGTAATCACAACACTCAAGTAAGAATTATGAATCCAAGACATGAAAGCATGCATGATACTTACTCTATAACAACAAAATTGCAATCAAATACACCATACAAGCATTACAAATAGTCAACAAGCAATTGGAAACCCTAGAAGTTCTTGTTTAGGTCCATTTTGGTCTAGGACTTCCTTATTGGGCCCAATGGACCAGTAAGCTTCCAATTTGACGATCTTGGGCTTAGAACTCTTAAATGGGCTCTAATTGAACCCACTTGCAATTATTTCAATGTTTTGGGCCATATTGGGCCTAGAATGAAATAAATCAATTATATGAACCATTTTTGGGCCATATTTAACCTAATGTAGCCCTAATAGGTCATAAGGATCATATTTATGGTTATTTGGACCAAAAATCACTCAACATAATCAAGAGATTGGGCTTAAGCCTTTAAGGCCCAAAACTCACTTCTTTTTCTCAAATTCTCGGCCCAAGTGGGATAAAAAAAGAGAGAGAGAGAGAGAATGAAATTAAAGGAGTTAACTTTTAAGTTGACACCTCATGAATATCCAACATATCTCCAAGAATTAGCTCCCATATATCCATGCATAGTTTCATATATCAAGGCAAGCTAATCTCTTCCCCCTCTCTCTTTTCATTCGGCCGAGAGCCTCCCAAACATACACACTTCATCCAATTTTCTTAAACCAACTCTCTCAAAGAACATCCTCACCTTCCTTTATCAAATTTTCGAGACTCAAGTCCATTTCAAGGAGATTTTTCATAAGAATCACCATCTAAGGTAAGTTTATACTTAAATCTATGATCTAGGTTCCTTGAATTATCAAACATCTCTTCTTAACTCATAAGAAATCATGATCTTGCATCCTAGAATCACCTCAAATTTGAGATCTTCATCAAAGTGTTGCTAGGACCGAAAATCATCTCATTTTCTTCCATCTCTTCTCCAAAACCGAAACCACACCCAAAGGTGAGCTTCATACTCCTATTTTTCGGTTTTACAAGTTTTATGGGGGGGGGGGGGGGGAATACAAGCAAAGGTGTAGATCTATGTGTACATGTATGCTTTGTGTGATTTCTATGTTTATATTTGTGTTTTTATGTGATTGTGATGTTGGATCTAGTCAAAAGTCCTTAAAACCGAGATTTGCATCAAGTTATATGATACTAGCATAAATTATATTACTACATACATATCATTTTTAGAAAAATAACCAAGTGGTTTGATATTAACTTCTTTGGGCTAAAAACTCATTTTTGGGCTTAAAATATTAAAAATATAAAGTTAAAGGGCCCAAAATGACAAGATACAAATTCTGATGTTTGAAATATGTCAAAACAGTTTCAATAAGGTATTTTCTGGAAATATATTCTTTTGAGGGATTAAAATGTAAAATATTAAGCATAATGGGCCAAAAATGGAATTTTCGGCCCAATAAAGCCCAATATGCGAGATTTTCAAATTTGAAGGGCTGAAACCGTATTTTTCTGTAAAACAGGGGACTACTAGTGCTCCAAGTCCATTTCAAGGGTTAAAAACACTTTTCATATTTAAAAAGGACCAAAGATGCAAAATTTTTCTATTTTGGGCCAAAAGTGTAAAAGTTGCGAAAAATGAGGATTCAACCGAGAAAACTTCATTTTGAGGGACTAAAACTACTTTCAAATAAATATGAGCTGAAAAATACCATTTTTAACAAGTTTTGATATTAAAATGTCAAGAAAAATGGTCTAGGGACTAAATTGGAAATTCTTTTATTCAAAGGGTTAAAAGGGTAAACTCATAAAAGAAAGAGGCTGCAAATAGAAAAACTCCAAAGTTTAAACAATAGATACGTTGAGATAAAATACTGGTATCGGGACTACCAACAAAACCTAATACACCATCAATACCAAAAATCGTTACTAAATAAATTGATTCGGTCTCGAATCAATAACGAATCTGAAACTACTAACACAACGATATTCAATACACACACACGGACATTTCGGGAGTTCATGTCACACCCCCAAACCAAGGATGGCGGAAACGTCCGGGGGTGGAGGACTTCATGTAGAGTATCACAACAATGAGTATAATAGTGCTCAAAGTAAAAACAACCAACACAAATATAATTGAAAACGTTACATCAAAGCACAAGTTTACATAATTCACATCAATTACATTATAATACAAAATGAACTGTTTGACGATTTATCGTCCCATCCTCAAAACGTTGTTGATTTCCTGTTTTCACTGAATTCCTGAGAATACAAGTAGTTTTGAAAAGTGTCAACACAAAGGTTGGTGAGTTCATAAGAGATTTCGTTAGAACAGTAAATCGTTTTCCAAAAAAAAAAAAAAAAAAAAAAAAACGTTAGAGTATGTATCCAGAAAACCCGATGTTTTCTTTAAAACCTGTGTAATGTCGTTCTACGACTGAAGACCAAAATGTATAAGTAACCCTTCTTATTGGTAGAAAATGTTATGTATTTAAATGGACATGG